ACACACACGGGCGCGCACGCACAGATACACATTTACCCAGATACTCATATACATAGATACACACTACAAACATATAAAACCCCTTTGTTTTCGTCGGGGTTTAAAAAAACTTAGGTTTATCGCTTAGTATAAAACTTAAAAAAGGTTTATTGTTTGTAGGTATTCTTCTAGTCTCCTATGTTTGGGGCTACGTTTCTGACACCAAGGGACGTAGATTCACGCTGCTGCTGTCCCTGACGGTTGGTTTTATACTGTCCAGCATCTGCAGCTTATCGTTTGACTGGATTACATTAGGGGTTCTTAAATTTATTTCGGTGTGTTTGTAAGTATTATTTATCATCATCATCATCATCAGTATCATCATTAGAGCCTATCACAATTTCACTGCTGAAGTAAGTTCTCCCGCAAGTGATGCCACAAAACACGGTCCTGAGCCATGGTAGAGCCATGCTGCAACTGCGTTATGGTTGTAGCATGAATTGGTCAGCTCGACCGGGAAAAGACCACGGTATTACAGAATACCAACGTAAAATAGCTTAATGCTGTTGTGTTTTGTGTGGTGAGTGTAGAGAACCGGAAACCATTTTTACATTCCATCTTAGTCCTCAGGAGTGACATCCACTTACCATCACGTGCACTGTGTGCTCGTTTGGCACTCTTAGTATATAAAAACAAACCTGCATTGGCTTTCTGTAAGTCTTACTAATTTGTTATTTTATCTATTCTATTCAAACCAGCGCTGCCTTTGTAGCAATATGCTGAGAGTTCTATTTGATGTCACATTTTTTTAAAATAATTAATCATGTATGCAGTCTAATCTACACTTTGACTTTGTTCACACTTTACTTTCAAGCGAAGACAATGTCGGTATTTATAGAGCTAACTTCGAAGCCGTGCTGAGTGCGCACATAGCAAAGCCTAAGTCAACGTCAAAAACTGAGGATATTATTCAAAACCACCGTATTAATTATAAAAGATTGTTTTTATTTTACTCTAATTATTTATAACAATAAATAGGTAGTTTAGACCGTCTTCTAGTTTTAAATAGCATTAATCCATTTTCTATTCACGTAATTTCAAACTTATTCTGAATTTCTTAAAATCATTTTTTCTGATTTTGCACTCATCTCATCCGTTCCCGTTTTCATATGCCCGTTTTCTATTTCATGTAATAATAATTTGTTTATGAAATACAATTTGGACCGTTTTCGATTTTAAATATATATATTTTTTATTTTATACAGTAAAGACAAAAACATAAAGCATGTAATGAAGCATCCATTAATATTTGGACTGTCTGGGCCTTAGCATAAGCTTAGCTTAATCTTAGCCCGAAACAACTATAAATTCGAAATCAAAGATTATGTTCAGCATATACTCAGCTAAGTTTTTCGTAAGCTAAGTTTGAGCAAAGTCAAAGTACGATCTATAGATTTCAGCATAAGACTGATGCGTGCATATTTTTGCCCCTTGCGTTTGTATATGTCTTTGTTTTAAATGTTAAAATCAAATAAATAGTTCTTTCTTTCTTTTCTTTTTTCTTGAATTGAGAGGGGGACTCAGCATTGAAATGTATAGAGGTTTAAACTTTATCTGCGTACCTGTGGTACAAGGTGAAGTCTAAAATACTCTTTTGACTTTATGGTATACGTCATTACATTAGTAATTTTCAGTTCGTGAGCCTTTAGCCTTTAACACGTTTAGAAATTATATTTCCATTGTCACTTGAACAATAAAGACAAATTGGTTTTTATTCTATGAACGAAATGGGCAGTACAGCTGTGCATGCTTAAGAAGTATATTAAGTCTGTTCACACGAGCGCAAGCGTGATCGCTAGTTTTGTTTTCTTCAAAAATAAATACTACTAATGATATTAAAGTTACTAATATTCTTTTAATCACTTCTGGAACGACTAAAATGCTTGTATTAGTGCTGGTTCCAGATAGTAGTCGAATGGCGAATTCGAACCGACGACTTTTTGAGTTCGCAGTCCGCATCCTGCCATTAGGCTAGCTTCAAACCCTCACGCTGTTTTAAATATCGAATTACTTAAGTGCGTAACTTTAATACTTGTAACAGTTATACGTGGTAGAGCCATGCTACATCTATATTATGGTTGTAGCACGAATGGGTCGGCTCGACCGGGGAAGGACCACGCTCTCACAGAATACCAGCGTAAAATAGCAGCTTAACGCTCCTGTGTTTCGTATGGTGAGTGTAGAGAACCGGATACCCTTTTTACTGGAAACGAGTCATTCCATCTTAGTCCTCACGGGTGACAACGCATCTGCATTTTGACTCTTAATCGAAGATAGATGTAGATGTCTATGGGCCACAGCGACCACTTACCATCAGGTGGACTGTGTGCTCGTTTGTCACCCTTATCCTATAAAAAAAATGCAGCAAACATACATTCATCAAGGAGATTTGACGATTTGTTATATAAAGCACTTTGTATTCGTAACAAGATGCAATGTTGACTTCCGATGGGTTGCAATTAGAAAATTTAATCCCAGGATCTCGAAATTCGCACACAACAGTGCAGTACATACATACTGTTCCAAGCTGTGCATGCACTAATGTTTCCTGTTAATGGTTATTATAGAACCAGTATAATAATAGGCTGTTAAGTATTTTATCTTAATCCAAACTTAGTTTAAGTTAGTTTAATTCCAACCGCTCAATTTCACCATCGCACATCACGACAAAACTCGCGATACCATCCATGTCATCTGGATGATTGGCGGTCCACCACTGTGCGGTTTAGAAGAAGTTTTCTCCCTCGCACAACTTTCTTGTGGAATCGATTACCACCAGCGATTTTTCCGGACCGATACGACTTAGGCACCTTCAAGAAAAGAGCCTAAGCCTTTTTAAAAGGCCGGCAACGCATCTGCAATTCCCCTGGTGTTGCAGTTGTTCGTGGGCGGCGGTAGTCACTTACCATCAGGTGAGCTGCATGCTCGTTTGCCCACTCTCCTATATAAAAAAAAAAACCTTAGTCTACAGAGTTATTTTTTAACGGACTTCAAAAAGGTGGTAACCAATTCGTCTGTATTTTTTCTTTTTATATATCTGCTACCTCATAACTTTTTTTTGATGAACCGATTTTGATGATTCTTTTTTAGATGTGCTTTTCGTGTGGTCCCATATAAATTGATCAAGGTGTGACCAGTAGTTATTGAGTTATCACTAACGTATATTGAAGTCGGTTGTACAAATTTTTTAATTTTACCACTTATTTAAAATTGGTTTCAGATCTCGATCGCTGCATTAGTCATTTACCATCAGATGGGCTGTAAATTCGTTTGTCACTTCACTTTTATAAAATAAAACATACATAAAAAGCAGGCGAGTTGAATAGCTCCTCCTTTTGTGAAGTCGATCAAAAATGAGACATTTTTCTTATTGCTCTCGCGCTAGTGTGAATAGGTTCTAAGCTACCACTCAGTTTATTTTCATTAAAGCTATTAAAGGCAATATGTCCCGCACAACCCAGTGTAATGTCCCGGTGTTTTTCCTTTCTTTAATTAGATTGATACGTTTTAAAGTTCTCTAGTATCGTGTCTGATTGAAATTCAAACATTTAATTGGTTAAAGCGTTTTATTCATGTTCACCTTAATTTACCTACCTTAACGGCCACCGTTACCGTTACAGCTTTTTAAAGTCCACTGCTGAACATAGGCCTCCCCCATAGATTGTCTCACAGGGGGGATATTTGTCATAGTTGCCACGCTTGGCAAGCGGGTTGGCAGCCGCGATTTTTTATTTTTTAGTCGTTGTTAGGAAAACGCTGCTGCCCATCTTTTTTTTTATAGGATAAAGGTGACAAACGAGCACACAGTCCACCTGATGGTAAGTGGTTGCTGCGGCCCATAGACATGTACATCTATCCTCTATTACAAATCAAAATGCAGATGCGTTGTCACCCGTGAGGACTAAGATGGAATGCCTCATTTCCAGTAAAAAGGGCCTCCGGCCACCTACACTCACCAAGCGAAACGCAGAGGTAAACCTCTACTTCACGCTGGTATTTTGTGAGGTCGTTGTACCACCCCGGTTCAAGTCGGCCCATCCGTGCGACAGCAACAGCTGCCGCGTGGCTCTACCACTGTATAAAAAATATCTCCTGATCTCTTTCCCTCTGTCGCCTCTTACGACACCCACGTGATGATATGGGGTAGTGGATATTCTTACGCCGTTTAAAAAAAAACTTACCGTTTTATTATAATTTATATACAGATAGAATAGAATATTTTTTTCAATGAACAATATAAATAAATGATATTTTGTTAGTCAGTTTTCCCTTTCACTAGTTACTAATTTTACTATTTATAATTTTGTTTGTCATTATCTCCTTACTAAAATTTAATTAAATAAAATTCATAAAAGTGTAGTAAAAAAGTTCCTCCCATTTCTAAAACAGTTAAGGAGCAAGTAGTCTTCCAGGTTGTTGCAGTGCGTGTTCTCTATTGACTTCACATGCCCTCAAAATCTTCCAGACATCTATTTTCTATAGTGTTATTGCTTTTAGCCAGTTGGCTTTTATAACTTCATCCCCTGAGTCAGAAGCAGTTATAGTATCTATACAGAAGCTATATAAAAGGAGGGATCGGTCATGATGATGACCATCTTTCAATAATGACAGTGCGTGACCGAACAACAGGCCTCCGAAACGGTGTTTCTACATACAAATATGTATACAGATGAGTTGATTAATTACTTAGATTTCCTTTAGCAGCCAGCACGTGGTAAATCAGCACTTAAAATCGCAAAAATAAATTTCATTGCGGCAACATTTCGGATACGTTGTTACTCCCTAAGGACTAAAATTGAATGTCTTGTTACTAATAAATAGTATACTAATTTACTTGAGTGTCAACTACCCTATTTCAGTTCTTGTGCGGCCAACTCTGTATCTTACACGCTGCTGGGAGAGTCATGTATTGGAAGAGTGAGAAATAAGTACATGGTCATGATGACCTGCTTCATTCTTCTGTCGCCTGCATTCGCTGCTCGTGAGTATTCCGATAAATTAATTCACGTAAACAGTATATTTAATGAGATTCGATTTTGGCCTAGTGGTTAAAACGCTACTGCTGATGAGGCCCATCAAAAACATTAGTTATTGAGTTTTCTTGTCAAAACTCTCTTCTGTCGCTCAGTGATCTGAATATCTTCTCTTAAAAGTGCGTTCCCTATTTTCTATAACATTTGTGCTGAGTAGACGCCATTTTAGTTCCATTCCATTAATTTATTTTGTTATGTTAATTTGTGTTTATGTTTAGAACTAAATAAATTATATATTATTATTATTATTGGGGTATCTATAAAGTTTTCTCATCTGGTTGGGCAGTATAAATATATAATTGTAAATTAAAATGGTAAACATACATAAATATCAATAAAATAAAATAAATACATAAATATATAAAAACCCAATCAGATGGAAGCCCTCGGCAGGGGAGACGAAACGGCTGAGGGTTAGGGGGAAAGGGAAAGAATCCGGCGGACGATGCGGGCGGTGTCGAGGAGCACCGCCTTCTGCATTTGAGGCTGGAGCGGTCCGCCACGGAGTCCCAGTCGCCTCAGATGACCCGAGAGGCTGACTGGGATTAACCCATTCGCAGAAACGACCACAGGAATAATTTCGGTCGGCAGACCACCCCACATGTCAGTCACCTCGTGAGCCAGGTCCAGATATTTTGTCAGCTTATCTGTTTCGGCTTAGAGGTTCTCGTCATACGGAATGGTAATGTCGACTAAAAACATCCTTGACTGTGCCCGGTCCATCAGCACAATATCAGGCTTATTCGCAAGAATAGTCCTGTCTGTGATGATGGCCCGGTCCCAGTAGAGCCTGGCGCGGTCATTTTTGAGCACGGCTTCCGGCAATTACTTATAATATGGCAGTTTCCGATCCACAAGACCATATTTCTGAGCGAGCTTCTGGTGTAGAGTCCTGGCTACTAGATTGTGTCTGTGGAAATACTCAGAGTTAGAAAGCGCCGAACAACCGGAGATGACATGCCTAAGTGACTCACTGGGATGGCGACAAGTTTGACAGATGTCGACGGCGCCATCCTTTAGGATGTATTTCCGATAATTGTTGGTCTTAATAACCTGATCCTGTATCGTACAGACAAAACCCTCGGTTTCCCCAAAGAGGTCACCGAAACGTAGCCAGTGGAGGGAGGCGACTGTGTCTACGAAAGGCTCATGTAGAGCCTTGTAGAACCTCCCGTGAAGCTCCTTCTCCTTCCATACGGTTTCCCGGTCGGAAATGCACTGTACTGCTGGGCCTTGCCATTGCTCGTCGGCTAAGGATAGAGGAGTAAGCCCTTTATCACACGAAATGACGTCCCTATAGAATGGATCATCCGCTCTCGCCAGAAAGTACTTACGGAGGCTGCACACTTCGCGATTATGCATGGTAAGCGCGCTTAAAATGTCGCGCCCACCATGTTTCCGCGGCAAGTACAGACTCATTACTGACGATCTCGGGTGATGCATCCTGTAGGACGTCATAATAGTGCAGACTTTTCTATACAGAGCGTTCAATTCGGTCTGAGACCACCTGAGTATGCCGAAGGTTTATATGAGGACAGGCATGACCCAACCGTTATATGCGTGTGTCTTATTCACACCCGAAAAAAGACTGTTGAGCACTTTTTCAAGCGTGCATAAAACACATCGCAAACTGACTGTTTCATGTCCGCCTCATCGATACCTATGTTCTGTGACATACCCAGGTATCGGTATGTTTCAGCCTCGGATAGGGTTTTTATGTTAATGGGAATAGATAAGTCTATGCCCTCAGAGTTAGCAACCCTACCCCTTTCGACATGGAGGACCGCACACTTATCCGTCCCCAGCCCCATTCTAATAGAATTGTTAAACTCACAAGTGATGTTTAGCAATTTTATAAGATGAGAGCGACTAGAGGCGAATAACTTGAGATCATCCATATAGAAAAGATGGGTCACTTTTGTACCTCCTCTCCGAAGCTGAAATCCCCTCCCGGAGTCCTCCAGTAAGGTACTAAGAGGGTTCAGACAGAGGCAGAACCAGATTGGACTCAAACAATCGCCCTGGAAAATACCCCTTCTTATCCTTATGTGGTTCTCCGCAGCCGTCATTCGCTCGCCTAGATGACAAAGGATCGTACTCCACTGTCCCATACACTGCCCGAGGAAGTCTCGAACTGTACAGTTAACCTTGTACAGCTCGAGGAACCTCTTAATCCATGTATGAGGCACCGAGCCGAATGCCTTTTTGTAGTCTATCTAGGCGGCGGAGAGGTTCCGACGGTTGCGTTTAACTACCTTGCCAATGACCACATCAATGAGGAGTGGTTCCTTGGTTCCACGACCACCGCTCCGAGATCCACAGATCCATTTTGAGCGCGCGACATCACCTGATTGGAGTACAGGTGACGAGTGATTCTTGCGCTCAAAATAGATGTTAGTGTCTTGTATATGGTAGGTAGACACGTTATGGGGCGGTATTTGCTCGGGTCTGTGGAATCCCGGTCTTTAGGAAACAAATGAGTGATCCCAGTAGTGAAGAAGCTTGGGAGCGACTTTTGGTCGAGAGCCTCTTGAAACTGTCGGGCGAGCAAAGCGTGACACACCCCGAACCCCTTCAGCCAATAGTGATGCGGTATGTCGAGTCCCGGACTTTTCCAGTTCGGGGCCCTACGGACCGCCTCAGCTATATCATCCGGTGTTATGATGACGGGTTCCATGGGCGTAACATTCGCACACCGACTCGCCCCAACTTCCGTCCAAGTGCCTTCGCTGTGGTTTACGAGCTCAGACCACAGGCCGCGCCAGAATGCGACAGTGTCGGCCTGATGCGGTGCTGGGCCCGTTCCACGTACCATTGGCCGCTCCAATGATTCGTAGAGCCTCTTCTGATCACTCTGGAAGAGACGATTTTGGTAGAACCGTGTTGACCTCTCGGTATATCGCCGAATCCGCTTCCCCCAAGCAGCGATTCTCTGCTTCAGGTCGTCTATGCGCTCCGTCAGTTTTTGCGTTATATCCGGCTGGGACAAGCTGATATTTGTCCCAGCAAACGCCATCCTGACGGTGCGCACAATTCTCGGCCTATTATTGCCCGACCTGAAGCTTATCAGTCTGCCGATGAGGGCCCTTACCTTTACGATGCGGTCCTCAATCCTTCTTCTCCAGGCTGGGATAGCGCTACTTTGCCTAGTAGCGCGTCCAGCCGTGGGAAGTTTGGCGCCAATAATACGGCAAACTGCCAGTGCGGCGCCAAAAAGAATTGAGTCCGTCTCGCAAAGGTCCCGGCTGGCTTCCAAATAGGTCACCAGATTTAGGTTGAGAGCCCTCACGACAGCCCGATTCCGCTTGCTTAAGGGTACGCGGGGAAGTCGCGGTCGTTTTCGAGAGGCGTACTTCGCGTTTCCAAAATAGCCTCTTCCAAAATGCTCCTCATTTGTTCTAGTTTGTGGAAGACTCTTTCATCATCGACTGAATCTACTACAACTGGAATATCCGCGGCGGCATCCACGTGTGCAGGTTGCTCTGCAATTAGTGGCGTCGCATTACCAGCTGTAGCATTTTCATCCGATGAGGAAACAGCCTCACGTCGTAGCCGTTCGAGTTCGGCGTCACCAAATATGTTGGAGCGCAGGATGTACCGAACTCGGTCTGCCAGGTTTTGCTCCATTACATGAACAGATGGCTCCAGCTCTGCGAAAAAGCGATGCATCCGAGCCCGATACGCTAACATTCCAGTTTCTTTCCCTTTTTCCCTAAAGTACGTTCGCAATGCGTGTGCGTTCATAATATTCGTCCAACGCATGCGACGTGTTCCACCAGCGGCGGGTGCCGCTTGCTGAGTCCGAGAAGACCCAACCGACACCAAGCCCTCTGGTGGGGATGATGGATGCGGGCGGCTACTAGGTGGTCTTGCAGCCCCCCACGCTTGGCTGGCGACCCGCATGCTGTCGCGTCCAGCGCCAGCTCCAGAAGTGCCTTAGCGCACTCTTTTATTCTCCATCATCCACATTATGGGCGTCAATTAACGGGAGACGCCCAGACCCGGCACCGTTTCATGGTGCGGCCATAAGCACAGACGAATCTTTGCACCCTCAATTCTGCCGAGGCACGGCGCACACACCTCTTGGCAAGGAGCGACTGACTGCGCTGACGTAGCAGTTTTGTCACATAACCGTTACGTCAGCGGGTGATGGGGTCGTCACTTCCCTACGCCTTTTTACCAACTTTTGTTATTATTATTATTTTGGGGTATCTATAAAGTTTTCTCATCTGGTTGGGCAGTATAAATATATAATTGTAAATGAAAATGGTAAACATACATAAATATGAATAAAATAAAATAAATACATAAAAAATACATAAATATATAAAAACCCAACCAGATGGAAGCCCTCGGCAGGGGAGACCAGACGGCCGAGGGTTAGGGGGAAAGGGAAAGAAACCGGCGGACGATGCGGGCGGTATCGAGGAGCACCGCCTTCTGCATTTGAGCCTGGAGCGGTCCGTGACGGAGTCCCAGTCGCCTCAGATGACCCGGGAGGCTGACTGGGATTAACCCGTTCGCAGAAACGACCACAGGAATAATTTCGGCCGGCAGACCACCCCACATGCCGGTAACCTCGTGAGCCAGGTCAAGATATTTTGTCACCTTATCTGTTTCGGCTTTCACGAGGTTCTCGTCATAAGGAATGGTAATGTCGACCAAAAAGATCCTTGACTGTGCCCGGTCCATCAGCACAATATCAGGCTTATTCGCAAGAATAGTCCTGTCTGTGATGATGGCCCGGTCCCAGTAGAGCCTGGCGCGGTCATTTTCGAGCACGGCTTCCGGCAAGTACTTATAATACGGCAGTTTCCGATCCACTAGGCCGTATTTCAGAGCGAGCTCCTGGTGTAGAATCCTGGCTACTAGATTGTGTCTGTGCAAATACTCAGAGTTAGAAAGCGCCGAACAACCGGAGATGACATGCCTAAGTGACTCACCGGGATGGCGACAAGCTCGACAGATGTCGACGGCGCCATCCTTTAGGATGTATCTCCGATAATTGTTGGTCTTAATAACCTGATCCTGTATTGCACAGACAAAACCCTCGGTTTCCCCAAAGAGGTCACCGAAACGTAGCCAGTGAAGGGAGGCGACTGTGTCTACGAAAGGCTCATGTAGAGCCTTGTAGAACCTCCCGTGGAGCTCCTTCTCCTTCTATACGGCCTCCCGGTCGGAAATGCACTGTACTGCTGGGTCTTGCCATTGCTCGTTGGCTAAGGATAGAGGGGTCAGTCCTTTATCACAAGAAATAACGTCCCTATAGTATGGATCATCCGCTCTCGTCAGAAAGTAATTACGGAGGCTGCACACTTCGCGATTATGCATGGTAAGCGCGCTTAAAAAGCCGCGCCCGCCATGCTTCCGCGGCAAGTACAGCCTCATTACTGACGATCTCGGATGATGCATCCTGTGGGACGTCATTATAGTGCGGACTTTTCTGTCCAGAGCGTTTAGTTCGGTCTGAGTCCACCTAAGTATGCCAAAGGTATACATGAGAACAGGCATGACCCAACCGTTATATGCGTGCGTCTCATTCACACCGGACAAAAGGCTGTTAAGCACTTTGGTCAAGCGTGCATAAAACACATCGCAAACTGACTGTTTCATACCCGCCTCATCTACACCGATGTTCTGTGACATACCCAGGTATCGGTATGTTTCAGCCTCGGAAAGGGTCCTTATGTTGATGGGCATAGATAAATCTATGCCCTCAGAGTTAGCAACCCTACCCCTTTCGACATGGAGGACCGCACACTTATCCGTCCCCAGCTCCATTCTAATAGAATTGCTAAAATCACAAGTGATGTTTAGCAATTCCACAAGATGAGAGCGACTGGAGGCGAATAACTTGAGATCATCCATATAGAAAAGATGGGTCACTTTTGTACCTCCCCTCCGAAGCTGAAATCCCCTCCCGGAGCCCTCCAGTAAGGTACTGAGAGGGTTCAGAGAGAGGCAGAACCAGATTGGACTCAGACAATCGCCCTGGAAGATACCCCTTCTTATCCTTATGTGGTTCTCCGCAGCCGTCATCCGCTCGCCTAGATGACAAAGGATCGTACTCCACTGCCCCATACACTGCCCGAGGAAGTCTCTAACTGTACAGTCAACCTTGTACAGCTCGAGGACCCTCTTCAGCCATGTATGAGGCACCGAGTCGAATGCCTTTTTGTAGTCTATCCAGGCGGCGGATAGGTTCCGACGGTTGCGTTTAACCACTTTGCCAATGACCGCGTCAATGAGGAGTGGTTCCTTGGTTCCACGACCACCGCCCCGACATCCATTTTGAGCGCGCGACATCACCTGATTTGAGTTCAGGTGACGAGTGATTCTCGCGCTTAAAATGGATGTTAGTGTCTTATATATCGTGGGTAGACACGTGATGGGGCGGTATTTGCTCGGGTCTATGGTATCCCGGTCTTTAGGAACCAAGTGAGTGATCCCAGTAGTGAAGAGGCTCGGGAGCGACTTTTGGTCGAGAGCCTCTTGAAATTGTCGGGCGAGCACAGCGTGACACACCACGAACCCCTTCAGCCAGTAGTGATGCAGCCCGTCGAGCCCCGGACTTTTCCAGTTCGGGGCCCTTCGGACCGCCTCAGCTACATCGTCCGGCGTTATAATGACGGGGTCCATGGGCGTAAGATTCGCACACTGACTCACCACAACTTCCGTCCAAGGGCCCTCGTTGTGGTTTACGGGCTCTGACCACAGGCCGCGCCAGAATGCGACAGTGTCGGCCTGATTCGGTGCTTGGCCCGTTCCACGTACCATTGGTCGCTCCAATGATTTATATAGCCTCTTCTGATCACTCTGGAAGAGACGATTCTGGTTGAACCGTGTCGACCTCTCGGTATATCGCCGAATCCGCTTCCCCCAAGCAGCGATTCTCTGCTTCAGGTCGTCTATGCGCTCCGTCAGTTTTTGCGTTATATCCGGCTGGGACAAACTGATGTTTGTCCCAGCAAACGCCATCCTGACGGTGCGCACAATTCTCGGCCTATTATTGCCCGACCTGAAGCTTATCAGCCTGCCGATGAGGGCCCTTGCCTTTGCGATACGGTCCTCAATCTTTCTTCTCCAGGCTGGGATGGCGCTACTTTGTCTAGTAGCGCGTCCAGCCTTGGGAAGTTTGGCGCCAATAATACGGCAAACTGCCAGTGCGGCGCCAAAAAGAATTGAGTCCGTCTCGCAAAGGTCCCGGCTGGCTTCCAAATAGGTCACCAGCATTGGGTTGAGAGCCCTCACGACAGCCCGATTCCGCTTGCTTAGGGGTATGCGCGGGAGTCGCGGTCGATTTTCGAGAGGCGTACTGCGCGTTTCCACAATCGCCTCCTCCAATTTACTCCTCATCTGCTCTAGTTCTTGGGTGACCATTCCATCATCGCCTGAATCAACCAGAGCAGGGAGATCCATGGCGCCCTCTAAATGTGGCTGCTGGTCTGTGGCCTGAAGAGCCGCATCCCCAGCTATAGCCGGTTCATTCGATGAGGGAATAGCCTCACGTCGTAGTCGTTCGAGTTCGGCATCATCAAATATTTTCGAGCGTATGATGTACCGAACTCGGTCTGCCAGGTTTTGCTCCGTGACGGAAACTGACGGCTCAAGCTCAGCAAAAAAGCGATGCATCCGAGCCCGATACGCTATCCCTCCAGTTTCTTCCCCTTTCGCCCTATAGTACGCCCGCAATGCGTTTATGTTCATATTTTTTGTCCAACGCATGCGGCGTACTCCACCAGCGGCGGGTGCCGCTTGCCGAGTCCGAGAGGACCCCGCCGACACCAAGCCATCTGGTGGGGATGATGGACGCGAGGGGCTGCTAGGTGGTCGTGCAGCACCTCGCGCTCGGCTGGCGGCTCGCATGCTGTCACGTCCAGCGCCAGCTCCAGACGCGCCCCGGCGACCCCCAGGCAGCGGCCCTATGCGCGTTCTATTATCTTCCATCATCCATTAAATTGGGCGTCAATTAACGGGAGATGCCCAGACCCGGCGCCGTTTAATAGTGTGGCCGTAAGCACAAACGGGCCTTTGCACCCTCAATACTGCCGAGGCACGGCGCTCACACCTCTTGGCAAGGCACTGACTGACTGCGCTGACATAGCAGTTTTGTCACTTAACTGTTACGTCAGCGGGCGATGGGGTCGTCACGTCCCTACGCCTTTTTATTATTATTATTATTATTTTTATTATTATTATTATTATTATTATTATTATTATTATTATTATAATTTTATTTAACGTACACATATACAGGTGAAACAGATATTTAGATAGATTCCTGCTAGGAAGCTCTGCAAAAGGAATTGATAAATAATAGGTTAGGTGTAGCTAAAGTAGGCAGCCTATATACGCTTTATTGCTGTACTTACACTTTGTTTCAAACATGTAAGCGGAAGTCAGGATAGGGTTGTCAACTTTTTTATATTTATTATTTGTAAAAATATATATCGCATCGAAAATATTGTGTGATTAAAATTAATATTTTAGTTTAGAATTAATATTTTGCTGCCGACAGCCCCACGCCATTGTTAGCCGTTATTAAAGTACTTTCGAATAATTTAAAGTATATTTTTTAGACTTACGGTTTCCGGAACCCAAATATACCTAGTGTACTATTTTTTTATTACCCAATGTCAGGGATATAATTGTTAAATTTTTATGCATTTTGTATTCATTTGCTTCCAGTTTTAACCTACCCAATACTGAAACTTGACTTCGAAGAGCCGCTATTATTGGGAATTGTCTTCAGACCCTGGCGATTACTAAACATCGTCCTGGCTTTGCCGTCCGGGATCGGGGCGGTTGCTGCGTACTTCTTCCATGAGTCGCCGAAATTCCTCGCTAACTGCGGCAGGAAGGAAGAGGCTCTCGAAGTCATGAGGTCCATTTACGCTGTCAACCATTCTTGTACTAAAGAAGAGTTCGGGGTGAGTCTAGAGTCGTAGGACATATAATTTTTTTTTTATAAAACCAAAGTGAAAAACAAACTTACAATCTACCTGATGGTGAGTGGCTGCTGCAGTCCATGGGCACATGGCTGTTAACTTCGAACAATGAAGGCTCTAATTACGTTATCACCTCTGAGGACTTACATGGAATACCTCAAAGCTTATAACAATTGCGGTTCTCTTTGCCGTTTAGACCAGGACTAAGTAAGAGAGAGGCATAGTACCCAGCAAACTGCTAGAAAGAAAAAGAGACGTACCACCTAGTCCAGACGGGCTTCTAGGTAGAAATGGAGTCCTACCACCTTGCGGTAATGGTAAAATAGAAAAGGTCTCTCGTAATCTACGCCTATCCTCGATATTACTCGCCATTTTCGTCTCCCCGATGGTTCCTGTAGCCCATAGGCATCTACATCTATCTTCGTTTGCGAATCAAAATGCAGATGCGTTGTCAACCTTGACGACTAAGATGGAATGCCTCTTTTCCAGTAAAAAGTGTCTCTGGTTCTCGACACTCACCATACGAAACACAACAGTGTTAAGCTGCTATTTTACGCTGGTATTCTGTGAGAGTGTGATCGAGCCGACCCATTCGTGCTACAACTATACTACTAATATAGCTGCAGCATGGCTCTGCCACGTATAAAATATGGGATGTCTATGGAAACTATGATCATTATTGGATTTATGATGGCGCTGTAATAATATACTTTGATAGCGTCAAAACCCACTCTAACCCACTAGTGGTAAATGCAGACACCTACGTCTCGCACACTATCTTGCGGATGATTTCCGAAGACCTCGTAAGATGTTTATTTAATAGTCAGTTCTTCTCGATCCCAACAACCTTCGATATGTGCTGGTATGTTATAGTTCTAGCACGAATGGGTAGGCTTAACCGAGGAAAGAACTGAGTCCGAACAAGCTGTATCAGCTGTATAAGCGGATAGTGTGCACATTTGGTGATTGCACATCTATCCTATGTATCCTTATGTAACAAAATGCCGGTGGGACGTCGCCCATGAAGACTAAGATGGAACATTAATAGTTAAATAAGGACTCCAGCATTACACTTTGCGTGACGATCATCAGAGACCTTTTTAATTTCTTTCAGTGTGTATTTTATAAGAAAGCACATCTCAAGCTAGGTATATTTGAATTTATAAACCCTTGAGTTAAAGCTATTTAACTCAGGCGATCATTACTTTAATCACCTACCATTAATTGACAATACAAACTGATATTTTGTGATTTGTCTTATAAATCTGGCACCTTTCCAATATTTTTCAGTAATTTTACTCTTCTTATGAACAATTTTGTGGCTAGCTTAAATAGGTTTTATATTTATAATTAAGTTTTTAAATTACACTAGCTAGCCAGGCAGACGTTGTACAGTCCTTTCCGACGACCTTTTGTGCTATAAAAATCCTTAAATTCGTAATAAAAAAATTTGAGGATCACTTATCGCGATAAAAACTATTATATCTCTTAAGTTGGAACAAACTGCACATAGTGTGCAAAATTTCATTGAAATCAATTCAGTAGTTTAGCAGTTCATCGCGGACAAACAATGTGACATATAATGTTTATTTAAAAAGATTTGTGAACATGTCGTATTGCATACACTATCTTTTTTTGTTTTTTTTTTCTTTTTTTTATGTTTTAACTCCTCATTCCTTACCATTTCAGGTGACGTCTTTTACCATGACGGAAGTGGAAAAGAAGAAAGAATCTCTTATCAGGTCAATATTCGAACAGAGCGCTCCTCTCTTCCGGCCTCCTTACTTATGGCGGACTCTGCAGCTCTATTATATAGTCGCTGTAGTTTATATCACGTAAGTACGAAGAAAACCTTTTTTTTATCCGGTTTTAGAAAAAATAGGTTCCCGGTTTCCACCGTATGTTTTTTTAAACTGAAGTGACATACACTTACAGTTTATGTGATGATTAAGTGGTTACTAAGTCCAAGGACACCTGCAGTCAACCTCACATAAGGAAAACTACTAATGCGTTTTCACCCATGATGAATAAAATAGAATAGTCTCATCATAGTCTGTAACACACTGTGGTAATCTATATACAACATTCTTAAGTTCTTTTTAAGTCGCTTAATTTAAGACAGATGACATATTTGTGCTATTTGCTGTAGAGACTATCGGTCCGTGGGGTCCACGTAAGGTGAAGTTCCTTCCTAAGTTCCTGAACTGTATCCGCGACTGGTCGTCGCTGCTGGTGATAAGAGGACTGGTCCTTTTTTCGGTCAAAGGTTATGTATAGCCATTCAGCGAGGAAACGCAGTCAGCGTTCTTCGCACGATACCACAGGGAGTAGGAATGTAGGATAATTTAAATTATTAGTTTTAGGTTCTTTTTTTATTATAGTTTTTTTTTTTAATATTGTAATTTTTCAATTTTATGTCATATAAAACTTTATTAATTAAGTCTAAATTAAATACTTGAAAACAAATTAGATTAAAAAAGCTTATTTTTAATTTTTTTTAAAGATTGACATATTTATATTTTTTTAAGAATAACGGAGGCAAACCAGCACTCAGTTCAATTGATGGTAGGTGGATGATGCAATGTCCTATAGACATCTACATCTATCATCGATTGAAAATCTAAATGTAGATGAGTTTTCACCTCTGAGGATTTCTTAATCCTCCAGAAATGCCTCGTGCCCAGCAAAAAGTATCAGTACTCCAACGGGAACTATATACACAACAAACACAGAATAATAATATAAAAATATTTCAAGCTAGTATTCTGTGAAAACGTGGTTCTTCTCCGATCGAGACCACACATTGACATGGAATAAAATGAAAATTCTTATTCGATTAAAATTTTGTTTTGTCGACGTCAATATGTTTTATAATCTCCAACCATTTTAAAATGAACTTTATCTGTCGGTAAAAGAAATGCCGAAAAATATTTCGCAGGTATCCTATTTATTGTTAGTTTTTAAAAGTCATAATACGATCTTCCTTAACCATAGCTACAGCGTGGTTTTACCACGTTAAAACAAGAGCGACGAACGAACTAACAATCCACCTGATGATAAAGAACTTCTACAGCCCATGGACACAATAACCAACGGTAACAAATTTCAAACAAAGAAGCATACACATCAATACCACTGATGATGACTGATTTTATATACTGAAATCTCAGAAACAAAGAAAAATAGAGCGCGTCATATATTTCAATTGACGCCGAAGCTGTGCTCAACTTATTGAGCACCGTTTCGGCGTCACACACACACATGATTTGCAGTCACCATGTTTTAATTGCATATGTGTGCGTCCAGTAGTGGACAAATGTGTGAGTGACTGTGTCTTAGAATTTATTTTGGCCTCATTTGAATCCATCTGTCTTCGTATCTATGACTTTTTTCATTTTCAGGAACAACAGTTTCTTAGTGTGGCTTCCACATATACTGAACCTGATACGGATATCAATGGAGAACCATACAGCTACTGGCAACATCTGCGCTCTCATATCCGACGACAACGTGCATTCGAATGTAAATAACACTGGCAACGGATCGGTCAGTGGGACCACTGCAACTAAAATAGTAAGTAAATTTGTTGTTTGGCGGCTCTTATATAAAACATAATATAAACACTCACGCCTGTCACCCAGAGAGGTTGGCAGGTAGACTTTGGACTTTCATTTGATACGATCCTGACACACATGTTAAAATGATTTAGCTAAGGTCCTACCTAGTTAGAAGAGCACGTCCCGCCCTCACTCAGTTGCGTGCACTATCCCTGTCACCATAATATATCCCAACACCACAACTCCGCAACAAAGATTTAAATAACATACAAATACCTATTTAAAAAAGTAAACAACAATAGTTTAATATAAAATCTTAAATTTCAGAATCCAGCAATTTGCCTCGATACTATAGAAGACGATATCATGATCACGCTAATGCTGTCCCAATCGGTCTTTGCGTTCCTAAACTTCGTCATATCATACCTCCCTAACCACAGGAGGAAAGTGATGATTTGCATCTTATGTCTATCGTCGTTGAGTGGATTTTTGGTCAGCACAACGCCTGAGCCGATATCAAGCGTGGTCTTTTTTATGGTGTTCACGTCAACATGCCTAGGCATGGGTATTTTAGCGTCATATTTCGTGGACCAGTATCCTACTTCTTACAGGTAAGATTTGAAGAAAGAACATTTGATGATATTTATTAATTTATTCATTAGTTTTACAATTTATGTACGCATGGCAATTCACAATGCTGTGTTAGTCCCTACCGTAATGTATGGTAAAGAAAGAGTGTGACCTAAGAAACGTGAAAGAGAAACATTAAGAAGTAGGTTAGAGCTGACTCTAAATGATAGGGTAAGAAATAGTGTGATAAGAAAAAAGTATAGTTCACAAGAAGACGTTTTGACTTGGATTAAGAACGGAATGCTTCAGGATTTGGACACGTAGAAAGATTGAATGAGGAAAGAGTAACAAAGCAAATTTATACTGCAGTGTCAGAGTCGACGTCGACGAGTCGAGTAAATGATATATTGAAGATGGGTCCAACTAAGAGTACCTTTAAGCGACTAATATGTTAGCGTAGGTATATGGATGCTAACGAAGCGAGAGGGATGTGTCCGGATCGTGCAAAATGGAACTCCGTAGTCTTTGTCTACCCCTCTGGGTAACATGCGTCAGAGTTTATATGTTTATTTGTTACGTACGCACAAACTACGGAAAAGAAGTAATAAGAGATTTTTGTTAAAAGCAACTGCTTCTTTCATATTGCAAGTTATCAGTTTGTAAAAAGGCACTGCTTCTTTCATATTGCAATTTGTCAGTTTGTAAAAAGGCACTGCTTCTTTCATATTGCAATTTGTCAGTTTGTAAAAAGGCACTGCTTCTTTCATATTGCAAGTTATCAGTTTGTAAAAAGGCACTGCTTCTTTCATATTGCAAGTTATCAGTTTGTAAAAAGGCACTGCTTCTTTCATATTGCAATTTGTCAGTTTGTAAAAAGGCACTGCTTCTTTTATATTGCAAGTTATCAGTTTGTAAAAAGGCACTGCTTCTTTCATATTGCAAGTTATCATTATGTAGAAAGGAACTGCTACTTTTATATTGCAAGTTATCAGTTTATAAAAAGGCACTGCTTTTTCCGTATTGCAAGTAATTACTTTATAAAAAGACACTGCTTCTGTCATGTGGCAAGATAACAGTTTGTAAAAAGGCACTGCTTCTATCGAATTGCAAGTTATCAGTATGTAAAAAGGTACCGCTTTTTTATATTATAAATTGTCAGTTTGTATAACGGCACTGCTTCTTTCATATTGCAAGTCATCAGTTAGTAAAAAGGCAATGCTTCTTTCATATTGCAAGTAATCTGCCGCGTGGTGGTGGCGTAAGAGAACTCATCACCATTTCATCCTGCGAGTGCCCAATGCTAGATTGCTAGATGAGCCAGGTGCTAAAAGATACACATCTCTACCATTGCAATAAGGATTTGCCTAAATCGTCACGTTTGGCAGCTAGATTGACGATCGCAATACCAAACGCGAGCACCTATGACACTGCTGCTCATTGATGATGATTATACCATTTCTTACTTAAATGAGGTGATGGGCTTTCTTACGTCGCTTCTATACAACAACAGCTTAGATGTGGCACGGCATATACTGTTTTTATATAATTCTTCAACTGATCTGTGCCGTGTCCGAGTTCATTATAATATAATCGGTACTATCATCATCTTCATTACGGCCCAACCCAAGTTCACCGCTGAGCATAGGCGGGGCCCTTCATGTTTCATCACGACGTTATCTAGCGTTTATGATCGCGTAACCCTGTGTTTGTCAGAAAAATACTCGAGAAACTTTTTTCTCCATCCATTGTGCCTCTTTCAGTGGACATTTGTTCTTAATACAATAATTGTTTATATTCTTTTCAGAGGAATGGTGTCAGGTCTCAGCATCATGGTGGGACGGAGCAGCTCCTTTGTTGGTATTAATCTAGTGGGCAATTTAATCTTCCATCACTGTCAAATAACCTTCTATTTGTGGTCCTTCCTTGTGTTAAGTAAGTAACTATTTCTCTTTGTTTTATTCCATTTCCATTACCATGGCAGCCTATCAAAAGTCGACTGAACAATGGCCTCCCCTGTAGATTACTTCACAGGAGGAAATTTGCCATAGTTGACACGCTTGGCAAGAAGGATTGCAAGAACAGTTTTTTTTTTATTTAGCTGTTATCAGAAAGACGCTGCTGCCCATCTCCTGATTTGTCCCTCCCTCTGTCGCCTCTTACGACACCCACGGGATGATATGGGGTAGTGGATATTCTTACTAATGTTCAGCAGTAGACTTTTGATAGACTGTAACTGTAACGGTTGTTAAAATATTAACCGTTTTCGTTTTATTTTGTAGCTAGTGTTGCTGCAGCATGGTTTCTACCGCCTGACAAGCCTTCGGAGTCAGCTGACAAGACAACGAAATTGTGATATATAATGACTTATCTGTGATTTATAAATAGTAATAAATAAATAAGAAATTTGTATAAATATATGGCCTTTATTTATTTTATGTTATAGTGTAAACAATATACACATAATAAATACTCATATAATAAATACAAGGAGATAATCTACCTTTTTAAAAGTTTATAAAAACAAATTAAAATCGACACAATGAATCTTTTTAAAACTTTATATTATATTCAAAAAAGTACTTAAAGCACTAAGTCAATTACATCAAAATAGGTATAAATATAATTATTTCTTATATTTACGCGGTTATGTAAAGACATTGAATAAAACTAATGTCATGGCTTTTATCATATTTACTGTCTATTAAATGAAGTGGTCAAACACCTCAGCACTTACCGTGACCATGGGTGCTATAAAGCATGCGAAATGTCGGTAATTAAAAATAATTAAAATAAATTAAAGGCGATAAAATCCGTAAAATTAGTTTTAGAAAATATACTTATGTATTATTTTAAAAAGGTAAGTATGTAAAATATATTTTTATTTACGTTTCTTATTTAATGTAATTACAGTTACAGCTAAAGATATGTCCATAGTTGTTTAGAGATCACAGAAGGCTTTTTCGCCCAACGCGAATTAGATTAGACCTACCTATCTACATTAGGGATATAAAAGAAAGAAAAACGGCGAACACCCAAACAAATTTATGTAGACATTTTTTTCTGCGTTTTTTACAAACGAAGAATATGTAAAACTATAGAGTTTGAATTCCTGATCAATTTTATCTTCAGTCATACAACTGCAGAAAGTCAGGAATTAAAGATATTCCAGTTTGAACAAAATACACATCAGACTAGGCGGTATGGTACAAGACCTTTGCCTGCCTTAATTGGCGAATCGTAACAAATACAACAACTAGTCAATTTAGTTTTAAATTATGTATGATATACGACCAATCATCTAGTTTCACGGTACAGTCTCGGAATAACGAATTTTATCTAAATAATTCCTTAAAGAAATAAAAAAAATAAAATAAAAAAGTTTAAATAAAATAACAATCGATATTTCGTAATCTAATTTGTTATTCTGTAAGTAAACTACAGCATTTTTCGTCGATTTCCTGTAAAGTTATTCTGTAAAATTAAAAATTTTGTACAACCGACTTCAATATAAATTATTAAGAATAACTCAAAAACTATTGGCCAGACCTTGATCCACATGAGAAATACCAGCTTTCAAATAAAAAAGAATCATCGAAATCGATTCACCCAAAAAAAATTGGTAACATGATGAGGTAACACACATAAAAAACCATACAGTCGAATTGAGTACCGTCTCATTTTTGAACTCAGTAGAAAATGTTGATTTTATGCGTTTTTGAAGCAAACAAATTATTTGGAAACAATATTCAGTATTTGGTTGAGCGTTACATATATTGAGAATAAAAAAACAACTTTTAGGTAGTAATCAAAGATGCAGACAATGATACAAACCAGCTTTTGTATTCCAGTAAACATTTGAATACAAAAGCTGGTTAGATAATAATAATTTAATGTTAAATTACGCTAATGTTATTTATTTACTATGTTTCATACACATATTCCACAGCTCTTACATATTACAATTTATTATTAATATTAAAACATACAACATATTATAATGGATTCTATAAGCAACAGTAAACCAATTATAGGGTGCGGAAATGTAATAGCGAAAGTCTAATAACAGTGTTAAAAAATTAAAAAAGCGATGTAATCGTAATGAACATTTACGAGTAACTAGGTTTTCAATGCAGTCAAGTGTGGAATGAAATTGGTTAGGAGGTGACACCATCGTTTGGTTTTATGGGAGTAGAAAAAAGCTCAAGAACGTGAACGTGAGAACGTGAGAACACAGACAGAAATCCGTTTAAAAACATTAGAATCCAACTCTATGGACCTATAAATATGAAGGCACTATGTTTAAATTAAGAGTTTCAAATTAAACCCCATTACAACAAGTTCCATGTGGAAAGTATATAATATACATTGTTAAATTTATTCGTTTAACAATATGTAAACATCACAAAATTTATTCATTTATCTAATATGATATATAATTTATTACATTGTTAAATTAATTAATTTAACATTATGTGTACAATGTTAAATTTATTTATTTAATAATAGAAAATATCGCTAAAATTCGGTCATCAATACTTCCAGATACTTTCCGTCGGCAGTATTGCTTGGTAGACGCTTTAAAGCTCTCAAAACATTACTCAATTTTGCTTAGCTTATTCTGCAGCTCCATATATATATATATATATTAGCCAGATAACTATCTTAAAACGTGTTGCAAGAAGGTAGACCGATGCAAGGGAATGATTGCATCCTCTAGAGCCAATAGACAGATCAATATAATTCTAATACACGTCACTCACACAAGTTTTTTGAGAGGTTTACAGCGTCTGCAAAGCGAGACTGCCAACGGAAAGTGTCTGGGAGTACTGATGACTGATTTTTAACGATATTATTTCTAACATATACGTAAAAATCAGCTGGGAGAATTAACGTGAGGTGAGTAATGTTTTTACGTACCTTGATTACCTGGTACCTGGAAAATGGCCCTCTGGCCAAGCTAGCAGGTAGGTATGCGATCATAGTACATACTAACACTACTTAATCTTACATATTTCATTCGTCAGAAAAAAAGTGACGTCTGGTCGCCCTGGGATCTGGGAGTATAATGACTTAATTTTATTAACTTCACTTATAAATTAATCTTAAAATGATCTAGGATAACTTAATTCAGCTAACTTTAAGTTGATTTGAGATAATTGTTTTTAAAATTAACTATCAATTTTCTATCGTAACATATTTGTAAAGGCTACATTCTTTCTAAGGCAACACAATACACACAGCCACAAGCTAATAAGAAGCACACAACACATTTAACTAACCTTGAAATGAGTACATACACGTGAGAATATAATAAATGGATGTTATAATAATTACACCGGGTAGTGACTGTGTAAAAATATCCACTAACCCATATTGTCCCGGGGGTGTACTAAGGGTTGACAGAGGGAAACAAATCAGGAGATGGGCAGCAACGTCTTCTTAAAGTTAAAATTACAGCCTGTATACATCCCACTGCTGGGCACAGGCCTCCTCTCATTTCTGAAGGGGTTTTAGGGCAAGGGAATATCCGCCGCGCTGCCTGCATTGGGACAGCGTGTTGGCGAACTCCACGTGTCTACGAATTTCGCGTCTTCGTAACAACAACTAAAATTAAAAAAACTGCGGCTGCCAACACGCTTGACAAGCGTGCCAACTGTGGCAAATATCCCTCCTATGAGGCAATCTATGGGGGAGGCTTATGTTCAACAGTGGACTTTAATAGGCTAAAACGGTAAGGGTTATAATAATCTTAATTTTTCTGTTATGTAGATGCTTTAGTACTTATTGATTTTATGGATATACATATATGAATAGTATATAAAATATTACATAGAAGAGAAAATTAATTGTTTACAGGGCGTTCTCAACAAGAACATCATTCTAATTATGGTATTATGCTCTTGTTGAAAATGCCTTACGTATACACCAAAGCTACCACTCTAGAACCTATCTTCATAATCAGTATTCATTTCCTCTTCGGCTATCCGTAAGTAAAGTAAATAATGGGTTTTGAACATGAAATCTCAAAATATAGTCTGTTCGCTTAGATACGGTCGCCGTTGTGTCGCGCCGCCTTCGCACGTGCCGCATTTTGTCAAAGGCGCCACCGCGATATTAGAGGTCGTCGCGTGCGGCGTACACCCGAAGGAGAATTTGGCATTTTTAAAACAAAGCGCTGTAGTGAAAGTTTCTTTGCTACCTAAATTGTTTATTCGTATTTTATTACAATAACCATAAGAATAAAATAGTACATATTCTATTTTATTATTAATATGGAAAAACATTTATTTAACAAACACTGTAATAAATAATAAAATAAAAGCAACATAGTAAGTGCGCCTCCAGGTGTACTGACATTATCTTAGCGAACAGACAATCAAAAATCAAAATCTATTAAAAAAACAATTTTCTTCATCAAGATAATGGAATTACGAAACTAATGAATTAGTTACTTTTTTTTATAGGATCGAGTGACAAACGAGCACACAGTCCACCTGATGGTAAGTTGTTGCTGTGGCCCATGGACATCTACATTTGTCTTCGTTTGCGAATCAAAATGCAGATGCGTTGTCACTTGTGAGGACTAAGTTGGAATGCTTCTTTTCCAGTAAAAAGGGTCTCCGGTTCTCTACACTCACCATACGAAACACAGCAGTGTTAAACTGCTATTTGACGCTGGTATTCTGTGAGAGCGTGGTCCTTTCCCGGTCGAGCCGACCCATTCGTACTACAACTATACTACTAATATAGCTGCAGCGTGGCTCTACCACGTAAAGTATCTAAAAAGTACCACGTAAAGCTCTACTAAGCATCGTAAGTAAAATAATTAACCATCAAGGTAACATGATAGACTTTTTGTTTCTTTGTTTTGCTGAGCTATCGAAGTAAAACTTCGTTTTATAAAAAAAAATACCTATCGTAAGCATCTTATTAGAATTTTTAAATAATAAAAATCTTATTAAAATTAAAACTGTAAACCGTCTTAGTTTATGGGCAAAATTTTAAATTATATATAATGTAGTAATTTATTTATGATGGCTTCTACTACCCAGTTATAAAATATCTTTCATAGTACACTCCATATCTTAGGTTACAGCTTACTAACACTAAATTGTTTTAAAATATACAAACCAACAAAAAACTGAACATCGATTTCTGGTGGGATACAAACGAAGTCAACCGCGATGACCTCTCGGTAGAGAGTAATATTGTGTTCTGTGGCGATGACTGCGTTTTGTCATTTGACGTTTGGTTTTTCGTTGCCCGTTTAACTTTACTTGACGCGAGAAACGGTTGCAAAGCCATGTGAAATTCAAAATAACTTCATTTAAGCACATTAAAAACTTACGTTATATTCAAAGTGCTAAATAACACACACACATACACCCAACTATTATAAATATTAGTCGAAGAAGAAGCAAAATCGCGATATTTATAAAAGTATTATAATGTACCAGCAATGATAGAAAAAGCACCCACGCGTCAAGTAAAGATGAACGCAAAATAGAGTTTGTTTTACGAAAGAATTCTCGTAGAAAATATGAAAACTAAAATATAAACTATACAATTTGACACGAAACGGCAAATTTCGACGAAAAATTTACGTTTGCTGTCACGGCTTAGGGAAATCTTTCGTAAACAAGTCAACGGTAAAACATTTTAATTTAATACATTTTTAAATCGAATTAAAAAGTATTAAACTTCTTCTTATTATTATTGTTTGTTTTTATAATATTACATTGTTATCCGATCTGGAGCTATATTCAAAATTTAAAGTCTGTAGCTAATCGAGAACGAGAAGTTAGTTTACTAAATTACTACATTCGCTTACTAAATTCGACTCGAAGAGACATACACGAAAACGAGTTAATAAAAACGTGGTAGAAGACTGTATTGTATCAAAGTTGGTAAAAATTACGATATCGATCGGATGTACGAAAGGTAATATTTACCAACTTTAATGTAATGGATACTTCCGCAAAGTAACGCCTGATTATATTAATTGTATTATATCAATTAGTAGCCGATGTCTTAATTATCTTTGAGGTTACAAAAAATTGTCTAATTAAAAGTGCATTACGCGATTATGAAGTGATTCTCATCCACAAACGATTCCCACCGGAGTAACACAATCGCTCTGCAGTCGTAAGGCCCATTATCATTTATCACTTTAGAAATATCTTCAAGGCCATCTTATTCTATTTAACTTCTTCTACTCCTTCCCTACATGTGAGTCGATATAAATCTATCAAATCCAGTGTTCTTATCTATCTCTTGTTCAGTCTTATTGTCAGGAACATCAGCTTCATTATTTCCATCCATCTTTATCATCATTATTGCAAATATCGAAACTGAAATTAAAATATATTACATTTGTTAGTTTTTGTTAGTTATAGTATCGTAAAAGTTTTAGAAGTGAAAATTACTTTACAATCATTGTGATTTGAAACAAATGAAAGCGAAAAATCGATAGTATAAAGAGACAAGCATATACATCTATATGAATTAGTCTGCGATATAATGAGGTAGAATATTAAATATCATTATATTAAATTAACTTAGTCGTGTTCAGCCATCTTGCATCTGTTTTATGTATCTACTATCTCGAGAGTAGATCAATTTTGGTTCAATAAAATGATTTTATTTATAGAATGAAGTAGATGACACTATTACAAAGCAATTTTACTCGAAAGAAAATATTTTTTATTTACACTAAGATTTAGGCTGATTTACTATGTCTAAAAATAGGTATTGTAGCATTTATAAAAAATATAAGTAAAACTTCTATCTTATATTTTATGTCGCACTTGTGGTTGAAAATTATCATATTAAATAAATGATTTTTTTAAACGTTACTCCACACTAGAGTTTTCTCTTGCAGGAAGTTTACATACATAAATAACACAAGGTTAACCGTCCGGACCCGGAACAAAGACCATAGCAATATGTATTCCCCATGCGGTATTCGAACCAGCCGCCCTCAGCTACTGCGCCACGGGGCCGTCAGGTCTCTATATAACTCCTATCGTTTCTCTGTTTCAAATTTGACAGCCTGCTCGTAGATCATCATAAGGATCAGCAGTGACATATAAATTAATGGTACAACGGATGTTTTTTGAAATTTTATATGTTTAATTGAATTTCACATTCAAGACTGTGCGTTACTCGGAAGACATAAGGTTTATTTTGACTATCATATTATCTTTTATTCTTATATTTACTTACTAGTTAGTAAAGCGGACACTGCAACAAACGGTGCCGGGCAGGAGTAATCGAGAAGCACTCCAACTGCGAGGTTGGACACCACGCCACCAGCTCTACCCCACCATGCACCCCAGCAAACGCCCAGGCCGCTGAAAAGGCAGAAAGTGCATCATCAATTACGATAAAAAAATGCATGCATTCATATAATCACGCCTCTTTCCCGTAGGGGTAGACAGAGACTCCACTTGCTACGATCCTTACATCCTTGTTTCGCTTCGTCCACTTTCATTATTCCCTTCATACATGCTCTTCGGCTTAGGGTACTCTTGACCTGGCCTTTTTTCAAGACATCCCTGATTTGATCTAGAAACGTCCGCCTAGGTCTACCCATTCCAACACTTTCATTCACACTCGCCTTATACACTTTTTTCGTCTATCGTTCTTCATTCAGTCTCTCGACATGGCCAAACCATCTCAGCAGAACCGACCGAACAAATTTCCGATCGAATAAGCAGGCCATTATAACAGAGAAGCAGTGCACAAAACACAGAGGTATAAAGTATGATAAAAATTACAAAAACAATCAAAGTTGTGAGAGGTGCACGTTTACTGTGAAATTGTCCTAGCTCAATATGATGCTGTGGTGGATCACAGTGCTATTGATTCTTTTAGGACTTTCAAACTACGTATAAGCCAATTGGTTAAAGAGTTACATAAGGAATCAGTGACAAGAAAAAGTAAAGTAGAGCATTTTTACTACGTGGTATGACTCTTTACTGTTTCGAAGTTAGTCCCTACAAAACGCGTTCCGGCCCTGTCGTGGCGGGGGGCTTAGTAGCCGCGGCTTAGTCACCCGCGGTGAACAAAGATAAACCCACTTGGCTGGCCCGTGGTGTAGGGCCGGCCAAGTAAGTTCCGTCTTGGCTCTGTACTGTAAGTTCATTTGTCACTTTAGTTAAGTAAAAAAAAAACCGGACGGATTTCTAGGCAGAATAGAAGTCCTACCATTTAGTAAACTCTTTTTAACAGAGGAGGCAAACGAGCACATAGCCTACCTGATGGTGAGTGATCTCCGCAAACCACGAACAACTGCGTCACTATAGGAATTGTAAATTTATTGATAAACAAACCAGAAAACTTTCAAGAACCTTTCTCTAGAAGAACCTTAAGCGACAAAAAGATTGGAACGGTTTGACCTGTGGCTCCTCCAACCTTCATTTAGTGAACATAAATATATTTTTAATTATAGAGAGTTGTCAGCAATTTCTCAACAGCTCAAAATTATAAAAATACAGAGCTGGCCAACATATTGTTATGAGGCTATCTATGGGAGAGCTCTTTATTCAGCAGTAGATTTTTATAGACTGTAAGGGATGACAACAAAGAGATCGCCATTTCAAAAAGGAGTAGGCTCTTTTCTTAAAGGACCTTAAGTCGTATCGTACCGAAAAATTGAAGGTAGTAGCTGATTCAACATAGGAAAATCCTATATTCACAAGTAGTGTAGTTGTACCACTTCTAGACCACCTGAGTCACACGTGGTGCAACGACGTTCGTCGACACCCGATCCTAAAAAAAAAAAAAAAAAAAAAGGTTTTTGGCATGCTCTGATCACAAATCCGCGGTCCATTTTTGTGTAGAATGCACGGTTCCGGAGATGTGTAGATCAATTAGCTAATATCTAATTGATATCCGGTAAGGGCCTCCACCGTCATTAGCGTCCCATTGTTCCTATTTCTATTGTTCTATTGTTCATTAATCACCTTCATTGCAGCGTGTGCGTCGACTATATCAGTGCTATTGTGTTATAGTTCTTTGTTTATACAACGCTAATCTGAATCATCAATAAAACACATTACATAATTTTGTTACAATTTTTATTTATTAAATACAAAATCTTATTAATTATTATCTATAAAATAGGAGCGAAACATCTCATCCACTAAAATATCGTTGTACAATGTGTTCCTTGTAAATATACTCGTAAAACTATGTATTGAACATCCTTGAAACTTATATAGCAAATACATTAAGCAATATTCGCCACAAACTGAAGTCCACTCATTCTGAATCCTATCAACATTCCAGTTCCATCTTTTACAATTGCTTTTTAAAAACTCTAGATGATATCGTACAGGTGATCGTCCATATGAATCAAAATATTGACCGACGTCATTCGTATCGATATATAAAGCTACCCAATGTGACCCTGGTTTATCATCTGTATCCAAATTACATATTATATACGTTGGTACGTGGGTATACATAGGCAGTCTATTAGCTGCATAAACATTATTTTCTAGACTGGGGTGAATCTTTTTCAGATGTTGTTGTACATCTAGTGTATCCATGATATTACTGCTATTAGTAGATTATTACAGTACCTAGCTACTCAATGAATAACATAGGAATGGTCAATTATAGTGATTTCTACATATTAAATTGCATTTTTGTGTTATACAAATCGTACTTGAGTCATTGATCACCAAACAAAACACAATACGAAGAAATGTTGAGATAGGCAACGGAAATGTGAGATAAACTGATATGTTTCTAAATATTAAATTGCATTTTTGTGTTATACAAATCGTACTTGAGTCATTGATCACCAAACAAAACACAATACGAAGAAATGTTGAGATAGGCAACGGAAATGTGAGATAAACTGGTTGACGCATAAAGTAATTATCAACTCATTACGGAAATACTTTAGATTAGAATTTTTACGTACTGGTGGTATATAAGACCAACAAACGCAGTCATCGAGTTAGTGTACGGTCGTTTGGCTACAGTGGATCTATCAATAGTACATTTTGTGTTACTTCAATACACCAAAGGCTATGGATGTAAGTGTTTATTCTATTGACTAAATTACTTTTTTTCTGTTATTTTCATGTGTGTGTATTATTTTATTTAAATATTGCGTATGTATATGATTAAGCCGTGGTAACTCAGATGGTTAGCGCTAGCTGTAAATTTCACAGTACGCGACCCGGGTTCGATCCCCGCCAGCACCAATTAAATTGTTAATAGCAATTTTAAGTGCTTATTACCACGTGCTTGGTGGTGAAGGAAAACATCGTGAGGAAACCTGCATGTCTGAGAAAATTTCGAAGGCATGTGAAGTTCGCCAACACACATTGAGGGAGCGCGGCGGACATTTCCTTGCTCTAAAACCCTCTCAGAAATGAGAGGAGGCCTATGTTCAGCAGTGGACTTTAATAGGCTGTAACTTTAACTTTTTTAACTTTTATGATTAAGTGTTAACAAATTGATATTAACATGATAACTGTGTTGTTGCAGAAATCATTGAGCTTCGATGAAGATACCTATAAACAGTATTACTACTCGCCACTCTCCCCTCAAGAAGAGAGTGATGACCTCGTCATTAATAATAACACATGCGATGGTGGAAAAAGAAAATCGCAATCGATTGATCATTTTTTTGAAGCTGAATCAAAAATAAAAAAGAGGAAGCTGTTATCATCAACCGTAGCACGAGCCGCTAGAGATGGTGTATCATACATTTCTACTAATTCTGACGACGGAGACCAAGCGACGCATCTCATCAAAATTGAAATGTACGATATGAAGAAGCTATCCAAGATTCCAACTACTGATCATTGGAAACATGCTTCCACTAGAATTAAATATTACGTAAAGACTAATAAGGATAGCATCTACGACAACACAAACGCCCTCGTATACAATATAACAAAGACAATAGCAGAAAGTGAAAAAGTTAAAAAATACTTTTTTAACAATGACAGTCATTAGCTGATCATTAGTGAATGTGATTCTGTTTACTTCAATTACAGGAAGACAAGAGCGGAAGGAAGAGATGAGTGTGGCATACGTGTACAAAACACATAATTGAATAACAAAACTACAACACTGAGTGGAGAAGAAAACGAGAAGAGTATGCAGTACTCAAGAGCTGAATATCCATTCTTCAGTTCAAAATCTAGCCGTTTGCTTAGTTTCGAAAACTGGCCTCTAGTTATGCGACAGAAACCTGAAGATCTTGCAGAAGCTGGTTTCTTTTATACTGGCCATGCAGACGGGACCAAGTGTTTCCATTGTGGTGGTGGTTTAAAAGATTGGGAAGATGATGATGATCCTTGGCAGCAGCATGTTCAGTGGTTTAGTCAGTGTGCTTATGTAAAATTTCAACTCGAACAGTGTTTTGTATTAGATTAAATAGAAGATTTATAAGAAATAAAAAAAATATATTGCATACAATTTGTTTTATTTAATTTTATAACGTTTCACATAGTTACATACACACAAAATGCATTACACATAACACATAAAATCTAACACACAACACATATTATAACCTTAACTACTATAGTCTACAGTAACATTTCTGTTTTTATCTATCTCAATAATATTATCAAACTCAGCATAAACTATACAGTTAATTGTTTGTATTAATGAGGATTCAAATCGTACTTCTATTCTTACACTACCATGCTTTATGAGATTCCAATGAGTTGATGAGTTAGCTGATAAATCAGGAGTTAAGTCAAATGCTAATAGACAGTAACCTTTGCCATACTGTTCACAAGAGATTCCATTTCCTTCATTAAGAAAGTGAATACCAGTTCCCGAGAATAGAGTATGATATGCTGATGTAAATATGCTATTATTAAAAGATGGTTGCAAAGCTTTTGAAGGTATTTGTTGACCATCAATATATAAGCTGAAAGAATTAATACCATAGTTTTCAAAGTTAAATGGATTTTTAGTAAGGGAACCATTAAATGCAGAATTGTTCACAAATCCAATTATACATCTTTTCGGTACCTGTCCTAAAAATATATTATCAAGAGTTTTTCCTTGAACACCCGAAGGAATTGTTAAAACTTTTACTTCAGCTCGAGTAATAGGATATTTAGCAGTGGTAGAAGCTAAAACTTTTTGATGTGCGAGTAATACACTTGGATTAATTCGTGCTCGTCGAACAATAAGAGTTGCGTCCGTAATACAAACTTTAAACTTTACATCGTTTGATCCAACAATTAAATTAAAACTCTCTCTTGATCGAACCAATTTAACACTCATTTCAACACCATTAATTAAAAATTTATCTTGGTTAAAAATGTCACCGTGAAGATGACCAATCATTTCTATTTCCTTACTTTCA